GGCTTCTAATCATGCAGACGTATAATTGAGTGACGCATGGTGTCTTTATGAGTGGAGCTGCATTCAAAGGGCAGATCCCTGTATTTATGTCTCTCTCTCTCTCTCTTGGAAATGGAAGTAGCTGCCTCTCATCCCATCTACTCCGTTAAACGAAGCATGTGTTTATATGAATTCCTATTGTAAGTTGTTTAAGTGCGAGGTCCGCACAGAGCTAAATGTTCCGTACGGGTACACTGATTTTATAGCTGTGTGGTGCTATTACTGTTACACAGCCAGAGCATCAGGCATCAAACTTCACTTTGTTCAGTGTGTGTAAGAACAAGCAACGAAGACATGGCGTTGACTTCAAAACACGTGTCTCATAAATAAAAGGAAACACGAGCATTTTTTTGATATGAGACAAGCAATGGAGGATTTACCTTCTAAATGTGAAAATTGTCCATCTTCGGTTTTAATAAAAGCAAAGCATTTGACAATATGATAGTTACTATGCTGTACACTGCAGATCTGTGTGAAGGAGCAACCCTCACTGCCCTGATCAAAGCTCCCTTGTCCCCCTATTTAGACAGGAAATTAAAACACAAACAAATAAACTGCGGGCCAAATTACCAAATTGCGCACAGCTTCTCTCCAGCGACCAACCTCAACGTGATTCTCAATATTTGAAACATGCAAGCGAGGTTTGGACCCTGTTTTGTGATCTCTGCGAGGCCATATAATCTGGGGGTGGACTTGTTGCTCAAATTAGTGGGTAGAGAAGTGTGCCACATGTTCAGTATCCATAAATATTGACTCTGGCTTTCTAGCTGGCCGCCTCTGACCTTGGTGGGTTTCCATTTTGGGAACAACCTATATGAAATGTGTCCCCTTTCCCCACAATCTCTTTCATGCGCCATGTGCTCGTGCTCTGCATAGCCCGTCGGTCGTGCTTCTGCTGTCAAACACATGTGGATTGATGAAGTTTTTGTGGTTTTCCAAATTAAAAAGGGCAACTCTGCTTGGGCCGTCGAATTAGAGGCGAGTTACGGCAACAAATCGCTCCCTGGTTTTTCTAGCAACATCTCTGAAGATGATCTCCTTGTAGGTATGTTACTGTGTGTTAAGACTACATCTGGCTCACGGCAGAGGAATGCAGGCCCTGTGTCTAGCCAGGTTTCTGTTAACAGCAGGTGAAAGGCTAATAGTTGGATCTGCAGTGTCATCTCAGGGCTTCGTCTGCCCCCTGACTCCTGGAATGTACGTGATGACAAGAGAAGGCCGCACCATCCACATCCGTGCACAGACACACACACACACACACACACACACACACACACACACACACAACCCACACTGTGGCACGCAAAGAAATGAGCACGTACAGGACTTTGGTGAGCAGAGGACAATAAACCATGTCTTCTGGTCTTCCGCAGGATTTACGTATTAAAACAACAAAACACATTCTATCCTTCTCTCCCTGAAATAATCACAAATATTCCCTCTTGAATAGGTTACTTTTGTTATAAGTGTTATGTATTACACATTGTTCTCCCTTAAGGGGGTTTCCATACAAGAAAAAGATACATCTATTAGGCGAAGAAAAAGTACATGATGGTGGTTTACTCCATATTATTCTTTTGGTTACTGAAGATGATTTCCCCTGAAAAGTGAAGGATGAATGGAACATACCGGTGAAGATATATGACTTTCAAATGATTAGAACAATATATAATATTCAGCTGACGAGGGAAAGTGCGTTTCGTGAAACAAAACCTAGTCTGCTGTTCGTGCTGTACTCTACCTGAATTTTAGCCTCAAAATAAATAGATTCAAACAGAGAGTGTTCAGTTGTCTGAGAGCTTTTCGGTTGTGTTGCCTCAGGTGACGGATCAGAGACCGGTCGCGTTCAGTCCTCACCGCTGGGACAAGAGGATTTCCAAGAAACTGCAGTTTAAGCTGATAACAACAGTCTAGAGCTAAACCACCGTTATGAGGATGTGCAGATGCTCCATTGTTTTTTCAACACACCTGTGGAGATTTTGCTGAAGATTCTGCTGCAGGCTTCACTGCAGGCCAAACAGTTAAATGTTACTGTTAAAGAACGTAGCATTATTTTTAAGTTCCTGTCTATGGTAAAGAAATGTTCATTGCAAAAGGATCTGTAAGAGCTGAGGAACCGCTACCCCATAAATATATATATATATATATATATATATATATATATATAATAGAAATATTATGGAACGGAGCTGTGGGAAAGCAAACTGCATTTTCGCTTAAATAATGTCTCCGCTTCCTATAAGCTGTTGGTCAAGAGAGTACAACATCTAGAAATATTGCCAGGCTGACGGTTTATAAACTGCTGTCCTCATGGGCCGATGGCTCTAATGGAACAGCTGGGATCCATGTGAGTATCTCTGTCTTGACCTTAAGGATTATGCTGTGTCTTTCAGACACTGTTTACCGCTATCACGAACAAACAAATGCCCGTTGGAAAGGGAAAAAAACGACGCTAGTGACGGCGGTGTTGGTAGCGGGTTCACGCCGTCTGGCTGAGTCACAGTGTAACCTCTCAGAGCCCTCCTCAGCAGGTCCTTCTTTTGTGCCTCAGACGGCGTATCTCTACCTGCCCTCTCTTGGCTGCCAGGGTTTCGCTCTGCGATGTTGTCCTTTCAATCAGCATGTAATTGGATCAGCCACAGCGATTAGATAAGCGCGATGTATCTGGCTCAAAACAATGATATATGCAGTATCAGAGCCACGTGATCTTCTCAAACCACTCTGGGCATCTCTGATCAAGTCCCTCCACAGCCTTGGCTCGACACATTCCTCAGCCCTGGCCTGACACAAGCTGTGCCAAGGCACACACACACACACACACACACACACACACACACACACACACACACCCACAAACACACATACAATATGTGCATGAACGTGCACTCAAAACACACACCTTTATATCATTTAAACAAAACGAAAAGAGAGAGAAAGCCTCGGATAAAGCCCTCTCTTTCTAATCCTCTCACTTGGGTAATTAAAGATACTCACAGCTTACTGTGTGAGGCCTTATCCTCCAATCTAAAGCATCTAAATGCCGAGCAGCTTTTACCTGGGTTTGGGTTTAGAGCGCTAGCTTCACCAAATGGTGTTTTGGCAACAGCAGGGACCCAACTATCACTGCCAACGGATTAACACGACAATGGTGCAAATCTATGCAGTATGAATTAACATGCTCGCCCATACTCTGATTGTATGTATGAATGGGAGAATAAATTAATGAATGAACTGAAAAGGAATAACTTCAACTGGACAGAAAGTATATGTCACTGTAAGCCACATTTAACTGAATCCGTTAATGAGATAAAAGTCAAGAAGAATCTGGAAAGATTAACCAGAAACAAAAGAAGTATAAAATCAAAAGTGCTTGGATCCAGCGAGGCGAAGGCCAAGAGACGGTGCACACTGCCACTCAGGTAACGGCATGCAGCCACGGGCCTCTCTGTATTTTAATTGCTAAGTGGAAGATCTGGGATTATCCCTCATAAAATGTTATTGTCCTGGAAGGAGAGAAAGATATCTTGTGATCTGTGGGGGATTTAATCTATTGCCATCTCTCCGAAGAAAACAGGCCCGGCGCTTTGGCCAAAACACAGCCGCCTGCCCGAACCACCATCACCTAATGGGAGTCACTCGAGGGAATCAATGGGGGCTTTTCTTGTGGAGATCACCCAAACATTACCGCTGTTGGCTACACCCCACAGGCTCAAAACAATGCAGCAAAGTTTCTCTCACCCGCCTCCACGCCAATGAGAGCATGCACTGTACAAACGCAGCAGGTCAAGTCTAGATGAATCTTTTTCAACAACAAATCATTAATGCTGGAAAGAAAAAGAACATATATACATATTTCATTTCAAACAAAAGCAGCCTGTTTAGGAGACGAGAAGAGTTTCAAAATGTTGAGTTGTACCTAAATGGATGGAGCAGCAATATGCGCAGCCAATACCTGCCACTGATTTGTTGATGAACTGCTGTGAAATGACATGAAAAAAAGATCAATCGAGCCAGGAGGAAGCTTGTATAAATCTGCTCTGGTGTCAGCCACACATGTACAAGCACACCCACGCACACACCCACACACACACAGTGAAGTTCAGCAGGAGGATGTGATAGTCCCTCTGAGGGACAAATCCTTAAAAACCACAAACGCAACACACTGTGATGTCTTTATCTATTAGCCTTAATCCAAAAGCTAAACACGTATGATCCAGCTATTAACACCTCGATCAATTATCTATTTATGAAGCAGCATGAGTCGACATGTTTGTTTGTTTTCTTTCTTTTGCACCGTGTGGTCAAAGTCACATCGGAATATTACACCGCCTAGGGACTACAACAAGCCATTTTGATGTTATTTAAAAACATTACACAAATAGACGATTGCTAGTATGGAACATAACCTCAAAAAACAAACTAAAAGCAACAGCATGGTTTTAACTGTTGACTTAATGACTATTTTTATGGGGTAAATTTCCAGGACATGTATAGATGAGGAAAAAAGAGTTGTTTGTAATACGGACAGATATTCTATTTATTTATGGTTCTCAAACTTTCTGAGGGGCCACATGGATCGTCAGGAGGGGCTCAGCATCTTGTGGAATAATTTGATTTTACTGTAGTGTAAATCAGCAGGACTGTATTCACAGTTGAGACTGTATAAAAGACTATTCCAATTGTTTTCACTACTGACACAAGCCATTACAAAAACAAATCCTCCTGTGAGGGTCCCCCGTGGCCAAATTGTATCCAAACTGGGTCCGTGGCTTTAATGTGCGTATATATTTGACATCGTCAGACGTGAAAACGTTCGGAGCCTCAGGGTTGTGGAGGTCCGCAGGAGGTGCTTTTACGGTGGACAAATGATTGACAGCCCTCGGTGACATCACTGCACGACAAAAAGAGTCGCTGGGGGAAGAGCAGGCACCAATCAATGCAAACCACTACGCTGTGGCGCACAGAGGAGAGGCAACAAGGTCCAAGGAGCGACACTTGAGTGCGCTTATCTCCCCTGAAGCCAGCTCCGCTCAACTTTTTTTGTGCCTCGACGAACTGTTCTCTGTTCGAAGATGTTCAACCAAGATGCTTTACACTTAGATCGGTCCTGCCTCCGCGAGCTCGCTTCCTCATAGACTTAACATATTTTTTCCCTTCTTTCCGTGCTGACCAAGACCTAACCCCGAATTGCAGCTGGTGAGAATATGTGCGAGAGGCGATCGGCGAAGGGCATGGGCTGTCTTTGGTCCCTCAAGGAGAAGGAGCGTGGATTAAACACGAATTAATGTGGAATTTATCGGAGCACCAAGGTGGAACGACGACCGGACACAGCGCTTTCTCGTCAGGTAAAGACTTTTCAGCGAATTGGTCAACTTTTCCCAAAGAACCCAAATGATAACAGTGTCGGCTAGTATAAATGAACTCGATTCAAGAGGAAACGTTGACTTTACAAACAGAAATCAACAGTTCTCGCACCGCTTATGCTGACAGGGTGTGTGTGTGTTTGTGCGTAAAAGTTAAAGCGTTCCCATTTTGAGCCTCGGGGGGAAAACGAAGCAAAAAGAGAATTAAAAAAAAGTTGTTTCTCTGGAGATTGTTACTCAGATGATATGAAGTTCTTGGTGTTTTTTTTATTTTGTATGTCTTGTCCCGGGCTACATCTGGCTCTGGTACGCACGTCAGATCTAACACCTGCGAGCCTCTTGAAGTAACTCTATCCCTTATGATTATACATGACCGTCAAAGCCTCTGCAAATAAGACGCCTGTTGCTCGGTCTGACTGCCGTGCTGCCGTGTATTCTAACTCATTCTCCAACATTCTTTCATGCCTCCTGTGATCAGACGACTTGCCCTTCTTTTCATTTCACTTCACTTAAAACGTGCTTTCCTAACTCTTAATTGCAGACTTTATGTCTGCGGTGTCCCCCGCTACTTTCTTTGATTTGTCATTCCCCCACCTTTTTTTTTTTGGTTCGTCTCTTTTACAACTCCCTCACCTTGATATGTTTCTATGTTTCTGCTCATGTTAAGATCAATCCTCTTTCTGATAGACGCGCTATATAGCTAGCGGGGTCCTTTTTGTTGTACTTCAAAGTGAGGAGCTGTCTTCCCTTTTTAACTTGCTCTCCTTCAATCATTCCTACTGTATGGGAGGAGGGGGGGGTCACGCTCACTTTGGAGAATGCTTGCAGTGAAGCCCCTGCTGTGTCTACCTCATGTCAATACCTCAGCGCCAGTGTATTGACGCGAAACCAACTTTCTCCACAGGGACTGACTGATCATGGTCGCCGTGGTCCGCTCTTTCATGGTACTGCTGATCGCTCAGGTGTTGCTGGAAGGTGCTACGGGACTCATCCCCGAGGTCGGCCGGAGGAAATACAGCGAATCCGGGAAGCAGACCCCAGAGCAGTCGGAGAGCTTCCTCCACGAGTTCGAGCTCCGGCTTCTCAACATGTTTGGACTGAGGCGCAGGCCGACCCCGAGCAAGCAAGCCGTGGTGCCGCAGTACATGGTGGATCTTTACCGCATGCACTCAGCGAACGGAGACCACAGCACCAAACGACCCAAGAGCATGGGGAAGCACGCGGAGAGGGCCGCCAGCAAGGCCAACACGATTAGAAGCTTTCACCATGAAGGTATGTATTAGTGACATACCTTTACCTGTCTCTCTCAGACGGCCCGAACCTATATTTAAACATGACTCAGTGCGTCAAGGCTAAACTTCAGAGTCTTCGCTGTTTTATGGAGCGTTAGTCATTTACAGGTGACACGCGTCCACGTTATGTGTCACTCTTTAATATGTTTGGGATTGCTTAAACCACGCTGACACGATTTACAAAAAAATAAATAACATGCATCCCAATTATAACTCATATATGTGTATGTAGTGAAGTAGCTTCACCAAAACATCTCCCCTCTGGCGCAGCTGTCACAGGCTTCTAAACATCAAGGGGGCGGTGGTGTCCCTGGGGTAATTTGTTTCTTAATAATTGATGGTGTTTGCGTGGGCTCTGAAAACAGTTTTTCCAGACACGCACCACAGGAGCAGGATGACGGGCGGTGTGCGCCTGTGCGCAGGTGATAGTCATCACACTGTTACTTCAATGACACAAGACACGACATTATGCTAACACGCGTTATGACAAAGTCATCGTGTCAGACTGAATTCTGAGTCATTTCTAACAGGACTTACATGAGTCCTTGGTAAAAAAAAGGGGGGAGGAGGGGTTGTGCGTCTTTACTCTTTCCAAATCGCCCCTCTATCCGCGCCGTGCGCCATTACGCACGTTCCAACAACACCATAATTGCTCACTTAGTTTATATGCTGGATACGCGCCGATTGTTGAATTCAGTGTTTCAATTCCATTTTTACTTCCAAGTTAACACATGCTGCTCGGATGAATGAGGCTCCCACACGTGGATAAAGCGCGTTAGTCCACCAGCTGTATGTGTTGACACAATACCACTGACGAAGAGGGGTATTTTAAGCTGCCTAAAATAATCTAACAGGTGAAATTTAAACATGACTGATGCTTTATTTATATATATAAATCTGGGCAGCAGAGCCTGCACCTGGTCATAATATCAAGATGATTTATGTATGATAAAAAAATAAAATGTACTGTCAAATATAGCAACTCTATCTACCATTCAATTCCCTATGTTCCTATATTTCACTTTTAACTACATTCAAGTTACCGAGTCCATAGGGGCTCTACACAGAGTCCTTATACAGAGTCCTAAGTGTTTGAGTGGGGAAGTTTCCATCAGGGGTGAGTCAGAGGGGTGGTTGAGTGGTTGCTTGGGTGCTCTCCAGAGGCCTAGTGCAATGACACCCAGTGGCTACACTGACACACTACAAACAAGCCTGGCCCGGGCAGCCAGGCTGAGTGACTGCTCCCTGCCCACTACTGGAAACCTCTGCACTGGGCCAGCACACACCTTGACACCACCGGCCATTACCAATGTGTTCAGACCGTGTTTACACATGCTCTGCTGGCTCTTTCATCCCATGCTAACAGAGCTGCAGGGTTGTTAAATCCTCCCACGTCAAAAGACGTCCAATTGATGGCTACTCCGCATTATAAGCATGTATCTACAGATGTAAGCGCAGCACATCAACGCAAACGGCTCTAATCATTCATCAAATCTGTCTTCTGATACTAAATTCGATCGGATATTTAGTTTCACTCCTATCACTTTTCAAAAAAAACCATATCCTGTGCCAAATAGAACATTTCCACTATTACGCAGGAAGTGGCTGTCTGGAGACAGGTCCGTGATGAATGACCCAACATTAGCCTTTATCTTCTGTTTTGGCATGCAGCGCAAAAAGAAATTAGGAATGTTGATACACTCATATCTGTGGTTCGCACGTTTTCGACAAGCCTCAACTTGTTCACACAGAAGAGAGACAGACGGGAGAGAGTGAGAACGCTGCTGCAGAAAAGAAACAGAGAAAGAGTGACAGACAAGGAGGCGGAAAGGAAAGAGGATTTGGGGCTAAGAGAACAGAGGGAGAAGGGGATTTGGGAGCTGAGGAAGGAAAGAAAGAGAGGGATTGGGGACAGGGGAGAGGGAACGAGAGACAGGGGGCTTTCCCACATCAAATGAGGAGTGATAGGCCTAATTGAGGTCTTTGTGCTTCTGTAGGGAGGTTTAGGATGAGATGGTGGAATTTCCTAAATGGCTCCTTTGAAACAGCACCGAGTTCAAAGTTTGTGTTTGTTTCACCACACCAAACAGATTAAAAAGTGTGTCTATACATCGTCTATGAACTTCATAAAGTACAAGTTCAAAGTTGAGCTGCCTTGAAGAAAATTGCAGCTTCAACGTCTGTCATTTATGGTACGATATAGAAGGGGAATACCTCGCACGTTCAGAGAGGAGAATGTTTCCAGGCTTCAATCCATTAGCAATAAAGTTAACAATAAAATGACAAACATTGTATCAGCTTTCTATTTGTAGATTTTCTCCTGAATTTAGATATTAATAGCATCCTATGTCTTCTCATAGGATTATTACGATGGGATTATTAACTTGATTTTTCAGAGCTGGCCAGTTCTGTAAAGGTTAATGCAACGGTTGCCATTGATGTTAGAATTGATGTAATCAGCTTGATAGTGATTTCCACATTGCTCTTTTGTCCATACTCATCTTTTTCACTGATTGTGGGAATTGTGTGCAGCAGCCAACTATAGGGCAAATGTGCCATTTGAAGGCAGACGGACGAGCATGTTTGATGTTATCAATCGATGGAAAGCGCACCGCTTTCAGCTTCTGACGTTCGGGTAAATACACGAGCATGACACTAATGACGGTATTACATCCCCGTGAGAATATTACACCAAGTCACACATGCAAAGTTTCGATGTGTGTGTTAATGCCTGTGTGACAATGGCCCACACCCACTCAGTGTAACCACGTGGCAGCTTGGCCGGCTGCGCAGAAAGAAGGCTGCAGGTTGTGTGAGAGTACATGTGTGTGTGTGAGAGAGAGAGAGACGGAGAGAGAAAACATGTGAGAAACCATCCTTTGCCAATATTTCCCTGCTCACAGATTAACCATAAAGCCACCTAGGCTTTAATCATAGATGTTGTTTATCATTCTTGTACCATGCGTACACTCTTTGATCATCCTTGGCATGCATTTCACACATATCCTCTTACGCTGTTTGTCTCTGTGTCATCTCTTGTAGAGTCTATGGAGGCCCTGGCCAGGCTGAAAGGCAAAACGACCCAGCAGTTCTACTTCAACCTCACTTCTATCCCCGATGAGGAGCTCATCACCTCTGCAGAGCTTCGCGTCTACAGGGATCAGGTCATGGGAGCTGCAACCCCAAACAACAGCTCCAGAAACAGCAGCACTAGTGATAGCGCTCCGGCTGGTGGCTTCCACCGTATCAACATTTATGAGATATTTGGAGTTCCCTCCCCTCAAGGTAGGGAACCCCTGGCACGTCTGCTGGACACTCGGCTAGTGCAGGACTCTTTGAGCCGCTGGGAGAGCTTTGACGTCAGCCCCGCCGTGTCTCAGTGGACCTCTGGGAAAGGTCACAACCATGGCTTCATGGTGGAGGTGCATCACCCAGAGGAGGGGGAGATGGATGGGGAGCATGCCCAGAGACGTAGTAGGCACATAAGGGTGAGCCGGTCCCTGCACCGGGACCAGGACTCGTGGCCTCAGGCTCGGCCTCTGCTGGTGACGTACAGCCATGACGGCCGCGGGGACTCAGTGCTCCACACGCGGGAGAAACGTCAGGCGGCGCTCCGCAAACAGCGCAGGAAGCACCAGCACAAGGCCAGCTGCAAGAGGCACGCCCTGTACGTGGACTTCAGTGATGTGGGGTGGAACGAGTGGATAGTGGCGCCCCCCGGCTACCACGCCTTTTATTGCCATGGGGAATGTCCGTTCCCCCTGGCAGACCATCTCAATTCTACCAATCACGCCATTGTGCAGACGCTGGTCAACTCGGTCAACTCGAACATCCCCAGAGCCTGTTGCGTGCCCACTGACCTCAGTCCCATCTCCCTGCTCTACCTGGATGAATACGAGAAGGTCATCCTGAAAAACTACCAGGATATGGTGGTGGAGGGATGTGGCTGCCGGTGAGAAACTGACAGTGGTATGGATAGAAAGACAGGGTGGGCAAGAGAGACTGAAAGAGACATCAGAGGTTATTATGGACACCCGGTTTCCCAATGAAGACGTTTATTTATATGAAAGACAAAACAGAGCTATTGTGGAAGAAAAAAAAAAGCTATATATGAATATATTTATGTCTACGTAAAGTTGGGAAAAATAAATATTTTAATCAGAGGAATATTCCTTTACTGGTTTTGAAAATGTATTTCTGATGTACATTTCAAAATGGGTGCAATACCACATGAAGTATAATGCTCAGATTTTTATTTTGTATTTATTTCTATTATAACCACTTTATTTGTAAATAAATTATGTGTATTTATCGTGAAAAAAAAACAAAAACGTGGTCCCTCCAATTGTCCAAGAGCAGCGACAGTGAACCAGTCACCCATTGTTGATGTATCCATGTCAGCGGCCGACGTGTGTGGCTGACATGAATAACAGAGTTTCAAATTCTGACAGAAATTAGCTGCACAAATATAGCACATGACAAGAAGCTCACACCGCCGCACTGATTGCAGACCAAGCGTCGGACTCCTTTTGGTAAATGTAATTGGAAACCAACAACAATAGAGGCGTAGAGGGGAAAGCGACCGAGCCGGGTCAGGGTGCCGGCTGGTGTAATGAACTGCAGTGGGGTGCAGGGTCACAGGACGGGAGTGACAAGTTACAAGCTCACAAATGTGATAGACTCCCAAGGGAGGATTAGAAAAACACCAGAGCATGTTTTCATGCATTACATGTCACTGCAAAGATCCCTGGGAAGGTTCGACTAGCTCGTATGTTTTTTCTCGTCCTAACCGATATGAACGGAGGGAGGGGGGGGGAGAGGTGAATCTGCAGGGCTTCTGAGGGAGGACTGACAAGGGCGCAGGTTTATTTATGGTATGATTTGAGACGGAAAGATTGCAAACTGTGGCAGTCAGACTCTCAGCAAGAAAAGATTTTTACTGGCACTTTAATTAATAATGACAAACAAACACACACCTGCACCTGTCCACATACTGCACATGCTCAGACAGATTCTTCCCCACTTCTGTGTTGGCTGCCTTTCTTTGTCATCTCTGACTCACAAGGCTCTGATGTGCTTCGGCACTGAAGTAAAACAAAAAGAAAAGAAAAGAAAATTACTCCGAAAATTACTCAGCTGCAGCAGATAATGAAGTGCAACACAAACAATACCAAACACTGACACTGAAAAACAGCTTAAGAGTCGCGTTTTATTCACGGTGACAAGAACAAAACATAGCGTATGTTGCGGTAAGACAGTTTGAATTATGAACACCTGGGTCAATATCTTCATACTGCAATGTGTTTGATGGAAACAACATAGTATCTATGTAGGCAAGGAGACTATAACTGCTCCAGAAAGACACAGTGTAGCCACAATAGCGGATCGGATAATGAGAGGGAGAAGAGAGGCAGAGAGGGAGAGTTTTGCGGAGTTTTGACTGACTGCGTTTTCTGCTGTGTTTGCATTAGAAAGGGTTTGGAGGGATCACAAGGCAGCTCAAAATGCTCTAAATAGAATGTTTTTATGTGAGCGCACATTGGGACCGTGGAATGTTGGTTTTCAATCTCAGACACATGCATACGCTTGCATGGAAAACCAACGTGGTTGTTTTTTCAATCATCTATTCAAGGGTTTCCTGGTGGGCTTTTTCTTTTCAAAAAACGAATGTGCGTTCGGACAAAGATACGCTTGTTACTTATATAGGAAACGTAAATCAAAACAGAAGGGGCCGTGAGACTTTATTCACGGGAAGCAAAAACATTGAAATGTCACTTTTCTTTTTCATGTGCCTCAGATCATATCCGTTTACCTATTCTTCTCCTCCGAGGGTGTTTGCACCCGTCTCCTTGAGATGATGCAACTATCCAATTATTTTATACCCTCCCAACGTGTACACACACACACACACACATGCACCTCCTCCTCCTCCCACCACATTTCAGTTTCAATCTTCCGCATGTGTTATTTTATTCTACCTTGCATCTCCGCCGCCCCCGCCCCCCTGGTCCCATCTGGTGTCCATTTCTCCTCTGTGGACCCCCACCATACCACAACCCCACACATGGGCTGCACATACCTCTCTGCCAGTAGCAGCACCATTTTAATGGACTTCAGGAGGAAGTCACTTCGCTGGCACACTTGAACATTTGATACAAATGAACACTAAAAACCTTAACCTCCAAATAACGTTTCTGGAAATTTTTTGTGTTGAAGCAAAAAAAAAAGTGTTAAGATTGAGTGGTTTTGCCTTCATAGTTCAAGTCCATAAACCTTTCAGTGGGTTGGGTGGAAATACTGCTCCCAGGCTGGGTGACACATGGGTAGCGCTCCTGAAACTCCCCGTTCCGGCTGAACATGGGTTCCGGTTGTACTGTGAGTCGGCCACTGTTCCTCGACTTCTTTGAGCTTGTCTTTTTAGAGCCACGTTAGTATCAGACAGCTCCTCGGGGACCACTCCTAAACTTCTCACTAAGAACAGGGGTCAGGGGTGAAAGTAATAAGGACCTATTATCTCGGCCATTACTGACTGACTTCTCGGCTCGTCACGTCATCGCGGGCCAGCGACTTCGAGAGTGGTCAGCCACCGGTCGAGACTGAGAACATGTTTCAGAGTCCATTCTTTTCATCCAGCACAACAGCCACCTTATTTCATGGCAAAAGATAATTGATGACGAGCTAAACATTTAGTCTGTGTGTTGCTGTTTATTCCATGATTTTGTTACTAAAGCTCAACTGTGAGATATGTGTTCTTGGCAAGATTCTCTTCACCTGCTACACAGACCTCTGCAAAGTCCCTCGCTCCGAAAACAGATTTTCCCCTTTTCCTTCTCCGCGAACATCTGGTAAATCTGTTAAAGGTGTCCTTCGCCGTCTTTGTTTACGCACAAAACACACAACAGAGCAGCCGCACAACTGATGAGCAAAACACTGGGAGCTGGGACCTACTGGCGTGGCAGGGCTCGATCGTTCTGTTTGGTTCGCAGCAAACCACACCAAAACTACCGGCAGCCCCAAACAACCCGAATCATAAGGGCTATAAAATCAGATTTCCAGATTTCTGGCTGGCCCAGAATTGGAAAGTATGTGGCGTGCCGTGTATCTTTGACGAGACAGAGGGCTCAGTCACTATGGGAGATCTCGACTGGCTCTGTGCCAAGGTGAAACACGAAAACACAGAGAAGTGAAGAGCTACACTGCCCACTTTGGAGTGTTTTCCTAACTTTGGATCATTTCTCCTCCATGTGCTGCATACACACATTTTTAGAGGTGGTGCACATGGTGTTTTTTTTTTCTGTATTCTGAGAACAGCCAGTGAGATGAAGTCCAGCATAGCTAAAACTGTGGCATCTGTGCTGCAGCTCTGAACACATCAAACAGACGGGCGTCCACAGATTCAGCAGCAGAGCAAATATGGAAATTACTTTTCCAGAATGACTGCACGGATGATTGTACTTTTACATATATACAATCTCAGCCTTTCATTCTTCCACGTGGATAAGTCTGCACTAACAAGTACGTATGAATTAAAGCTGTGAGCATGTGCCACAAATGCACCAATTTTGACTATATCTGTAGAATCGCATTATAAAAGGCATGTAGGAAATGACTAAAAACTTTAGCTAACTTGCTCCTGAAATATGTTCGGCTACGACCATTACTGTAGGAGCTAATCATCCGTGCAATCACGGTGCCGTTGGCCTGGAGTGACATGCTGAAATCATTACCCCTGGCTGAGACTCAATGGAAGAGACCATTATATAGCCTTATACTCACAGCAGAAGAGTCTTGCAGTTAAGCTATAGTGCAAGGCAATGAACAACGCAATGAAACCTTAGAGGATGGAGAAGACCTTAAGCCAGACACTTTTTATCGACAGGCTACAGGGGGCAGCAGCAGGAGAAACGACCTCGTAACACCGAAGCTGTTCATCTCTCACCCAAGGACTTCTAATAACTCACACATTTCTTGGGATATCTGGACACAGGGTGCATACACACCATTTCCTGCTTATTCTCACTGTAAAATCACAGTAAAATATATAAAATAGGGCGGGAGAAAATACTGGAGGACTTATCAATAACTATCTTTAGATAATTAATTGTATTTTTATTTTTAACTGTTATTCTGTGATCAACGAATGGTCTTCAGGATGTGTACCTTGCACTTTCCACAGACACAGGAAGGAGTTCCATATGGACCACATATGGGCTTCTAAAACAGGCTTGTGGATGCCTCGAGATACTGATCTAAGGTCAGTGTCGTGTTTACTCCTCTGATGGTTACAGTTGGGTTTGGGGGGTGGGTGAACCCGACTGATCCTGGAACCTTGCCGAAGGGCGTCTCCTACACAACGTGCTTGAAAGGGGTTGTGTGGTTACGGGAGCGGCCTCCATCTTTGTAGCAGGAAGTGCAGAGATCAATCAAAGGGAGCGACATGACATCCCCCAGCATGCCTGTTAAATAAATGTCAATCTCAAGCATAGTAAATCTCATGCATTACCACGCATACGGCTTCAAATCAGCACTGTTGCTGATTCAGAGCTGGCAATGAAAAGAAAGCTTCGAACTCTGTTCTGTCTGATGACAGACAGTAAATAATGCCAAATAGCTATATTAAAAAAACAGAACACACTTGTGATACACAATTATGTCACAATCAACACACACTTATTAACTAATATATAATTCTCAGAAAATCGGATTATTTTGCACTTAAATTCTTAATTAAATGATAAAATAATTTGTGCTCCTTATTTGTCAAGTATTTAATTCACAAAAAACTATAAAAAACCATGTAGTGGTTATTTGAAATAGACTATTTATTGAATTAGCAGAAAAACTATATTATATATATATATTAAATAAATATATATATAATATAGCCTTGATCTTAATCACTCTACTTAGTCACCTGTGGAAGAGAACATACTGCATATGTGTCTTAAAAATCATGACCACTACCTACATTATTTACTTTAGTGCTATATATAAATATGAATGTTTTTCTAATTAAGATTTACACTTATTTTTGTATTGTTGCAGGCTGGATAATGATATATTTAATGAGCTTATGTGACCTTTTATTTGTCCTTAGC